CAGCCAGGCAAGGCAGCGCGCCTCCCTCCCCCCCTCCCTCGGCCCGGAGCCGGCAGCGGGGCTCAGCCCGACCCGGTGCCCCCCGGCCCGGCCCTCAGCCCCGCTCGCCCCTCCGGCCCGCCGGGTCCGGCCCGGGGACCCCCCTCCCGCCCGCCGGTTTCCCCCGCAGGGTTGCGCTGAGTTTGGGGACGAAGAGAGGGGAGGGGGGTGACCCCCGTGTGCTGCGGAGAGAAACTTCGGAGAGGTGCGAGGGGAGGCTCAGTGTCGTTTTCCCCTTCCCCCTCCCGGCAGGGATCTACGAGTGCAAAGAGAAGCGGGAAGATGTGAAGTCAGAAGATGAAGATGGACAGACCAAGCTCAAACAAAGGAGAAGCAGAACCAATTTCACACTAGAGCAGCTGAATGAGCTGGAAAGACTTTTTGATGAGACTCACTATCCGGATGCCTTCATGAGGGAGGAACTAAGCCAGAGGCTGGGACTGTCTGAAGCTAGGGTTCAGGTAAGAGAAAGGCTCTGTTCCTGGAAACGTCCTCACCTCACTTCCTAACTGCCAGCGGATCCTAGCACAGTGCCCCGCTTCATCCCAAGCGGGGAGGTGAAGGCAGAGACGACACGTGTGATGGGGAAGCTGTGTGCAACTCCGCTCTACCTGTCCTGCCAAACAGTAATTCTGCTCTGGGAATATCTGCTCGTGCCTTGCGTTTCCTAGGAAGGCAGTTTAATTTTTTTTTTTTATTATTATTATTTTGGGGGGTGGGGTGGTGATAGCGGTGACAAGTCTCTAATAACTGAGCAATTCGCTGGGTTTTTAATTATTGTATTTTTCCTTGCAAACGTGCCATTAACTCTCCTTTAATCCTCACTTTCTTCCCCCACCCTCCTTCTTTCATGGGTCCGTTATTCCCCCCCCCCCCCCTTTTTTTGGGGGCCTTTAAAAAAAAAAAAAAAAAAAAAAAAAAAGCCCAGAAAACAATCGCCGTGAATAAGGCTAGACGGTTTGGGTGCTGAGGGATGGGATTAGGCAGAGCCGGGGGAAAGGTGCCCGCTCTGATTCGCGCAGCAAGCGTATGAATGCATGGCACCCCATCTGGCCGAGTCTCCCCCCGTCCCTCCCATCCCGCTTCAGATACAGCTAAATACCAACTAGCCTTCGAAAACCTTGAAAACAGGCCCGGGCTGCTGTAGTTCTGGGGCCATCAGAGCCGTCTGTTTGGGTGGCTCCACATCGATTGTTTTAAAATTCGATTTTCCGTTTGATGCAGGGGAAAAATACATCCCCCCGCCCCCCAAGCCAACTAGGGAATGCATCCCCAAAACAAATGTCGCGTTAAAAAAGAAAACCCTAGAAATAATTAATAAGATCAACCTGTGGCTCCCTGAGCAGGCCTAGAGCAGGAGAAACCTGGAGGAAATCCCTCCTTAGGTTATAACTCTGTGCTTGGCCTAACAGACCCCAACCAAACCAAAACCCAAGAAGAAAAAGTCACCAAGCCAACACCCCCCCGCCCCAGCAAAACGCCTTCACGCCCTGGGAGACAGGAGATGCGTGTGCATACGTGTCTACGTCTATACGTCTCTGCGCGGGGCAGGCGTAGGTGCGGGTGCGGGCGGAGGCGGAGGGCCCGGTGCCTGTCCCCATCCCAGGGCAGAGCGGGAGGACAAGGAATCCAGCCCCGAGCTGGAGCGGGCAGAGGGGTGGCCTCGTCCCCCTCCTTAGACAGGGCGGCAGGCGGGCAGGCTCAGCCAGCCCGCGCCCGGGTGAGCCGCTCTCCCGCTTTAAACAACGGCCTCCTGGAGGCATTTCCCGAAATAAATAGGGTAGCCAGGTTGTTTTCTTTCTTGTTTTGTTTTTTTTAAAGGCTCTCTTCTCCCCTCGGCTCCTGCCTCTCTCACTACAAACGGAGCTGGGCGAGGGATGGTGCCGGGCGCATGCCTTAGGAAGGGCGGCTCGCAGGGGATATTGCAGGGGTTCAGAGTGCTGCTGGCCTACTTTCTCCTGGAAGATTGATCTAACCACACCATATAAATTAATGAAAAGATTAAACTTTTGCTGAAGGGGACATCAACTCTTATGTCATCTTCCCAGATCTTCTTACTTGGGCTCTGTAATATCTTTCCAAGGCCTTGATGTACTGTTTCTATAAAAATAAATTACTTGTAATTGAATTCTGCACTCTTTCTTTCAAGTACTTTATTACTGAGCAGCACCTTAACAGGATGTTCATAGTTACAGGAAAATTGCTGCTCCAAGTGCTTAGAGATGTTAAAACAGCACCAAAAAAAAAAAAAAAAAAAGAAAAAAATGATAGTGATTCAGGCAGAGATTATGAGAGAGATAAAAAAAATAATAAATCTAACAATCTCACAAAAGAGTTTTGAATGAAAATAAAGCTAGAAATAAAAGAAATATCAAGAGGGAAAAGAGGAGAAATGGATAATTAATTAGGAAATAAGCAGAGCTTGATATCCATCGAGAAATGGAAGCGGAAAAAAAAGGAGGAGAAAGGGGGAAAAGGGAAAGGTTTTTTTTTTTTTTTTTTTTAATACTTTCAGAGTTGTTCTCCAATTCCTATC